TTTTGAGACAGAGTTTTGCTCTGTCGCTCAGGCTGGAGTACAGTGGCATGATCTCGGTTCACTGCAACCTCCACCTCCAGGGTTCAAGTGATTCTTCTGCCTCAGCCTCCAATGTAGCTGGGATTACAGGCACATGCCACCACGCCCAGCTAATTTTTGAATTTTTAGTACAGAAGGGGTTTTACCATGTTGGCTAGGCTGGTCTTGAACTCCTGACCTCAAGTGATCCACCCGCTTCGGCCTCCCAAAATGCTGGAATTACAGGCATGAGCCACTGCACCTGGCTATTTTGCTCATTTTAAAATTTAGGTTACTTGTCACTTTTTTTTTTATTTTAGATGGAGTCTCACTCTGTTGCCCAGGCTGGAGTACAGTAGAATAATCTTGGTTCCCTGCAAACTCTGCCCCCCGGATTCAAGCAATTCTCCTGCCTCAGCCTCCTGAGCATCTGGGCTACAGGTGCACACCACCATGCCCAGCTAATTTTTATATTTTTAGTAGAGACGGGGTTTTACCATATTGGCCAGGCTGGTTTTGAACTCCTGACCTCAGGTGATCAACCTGCCATGGCCTCCCAAAGTGCTGGGATTACAGGCATGAACCACCATGCCTGGACCATTTTTGGTTGATTTGTAAGAGTTTTTATATATGTATTCTGGATACTAGATCTTATCAAATATATAGCTTGTGAATAATTTTTTTCCATTCTTTGGATTGTCTCTTTACTTTCTTATCTTTTGATGTAAAAAAGTTTTTAATTGTGATGCAGCCCAAGTTTTCTATTTATTTATTTATTTATTTATTTATTTTTTGGTGACTGTACTTTTGGGATTTTATCTAAGAAACTATTGGTTAGTCCAAAGTCATTGTAGAGGGTTCTCCAGAGAAACAGAACCAATAGATGATTAAACAATTGATCAACTGATAGATAGAAATTTCTTTTGAGGACCTGCATCACATGATTATGGAGGTGGAGAATTCTCACCATCTGCTGTCTGTAAGCTGGAGATGCAGGAAAGTCTGAGTTCAAAGGATTGAGAACCAGGAGGGCTGATGGTGTAAGTCTCAGTCCAAGGGCAGGTAAAGATTGATGTCCCAGCTGGAACAGGCAGGCAGAAGGAACAAGTTCTGCTGTTCTCCAGTTTTTGCTCTGTTCAGGCCCAATTTTGTTATGTTTCGAGACTGTCTTGGCTATTCTGGGTTCCTTGCATTTTTGTATAAATTTTAGGATCAGCTTGTCCATTCATGCCAAAAAAAAAAAAAAAAAAAAAAAAAAAAATTAATAAAAAAAAAAAAAAAAAAAAAAAAAAAAGGCTGTTGAAGTTTTGGTAGAGATTGCAGTGAAGCTGTAGATTGCTTTGGGGAGTATTGCCATCTTAATAATATTACATCTTCCAGTCCATGGACATGGGATGAGTTTTTATTTACTTATATCTTCTAACAATATTATGTGGTTTTCAGCATATAACTTTGCACTTCCATTTTGGTTTATCCCTACATATGTTACTCTTTTTGATGCTATTATACATGGAACTGTTTTCCTAATTTGAGTTTTGGATTATTGCTACGACTGGTTTTTATATATTGGTCTTGTATCCTGCAATTTTGCTGAAACAGTTTATTAACTCTAATAGTTTTTCTGCATAAACTATTTAGAATTTTATTTTATTTTATGTATTTTTTTAATAGAGATTTTTTATTTTTTATTATTTTATGTACTTATTTATTCTTTATAAATAAATAAATAAATAAATAAATAAATAAATTTTCATGTTGGCTAGGCTAGTCTCAAACTCCCGACCTCAGGTGATTCATCTGCCTTGGCCTCCCAAAGTGCTGGGATTACAGGCATGAGCCACCATGCCCGGCCTACACTTTTTTTATATATAAGATCCTGTCATCTGAAAATATTTTTTCTCCTTTTCCAATCTGAATACTTTTGGTTTCGTTTTCTTGTCTAATTACTCTTCCATTATCTTTTCCCCCCAACTTTACAATTGGTTTATAGGGATAGTAAATGAATTTTTGAGTTATGATGGGTTGATCAGTACATACACCATCAAAAATCCAGGAGTAGCTATGTAAGGCAAAAAAGGTGTAACTAATTACAGTATACTAAGTGACTTGAGAGAAACCAGAAGATGTTTATAATTGATGGGGAGCCTGGAAGAGAGACATTGGTACATAACAACGAAATTGTACTGAGAATTCTCAAGGATCTGACATGGGAACACATGGGAAGAAAGGGAAGGAGGGAAGAAAGTAAAGGAAGGAAAGGAGGAGTAGTAAGAACAGGAGGAAGGGAAAACGCTGGGTGGTACTAAGAGCAGAAGCTTAATCAGTTTCTCAAATGTAAATATTTGAAATAGGAGATAAAAAGGGAAATTTTGGGATATTTCAATTATAGTGTGGACTTGAATGTCGAATAGAAGAAATATCTCAAAACAGTAAAAAAGATGTTTTCATCATGACTAGATATAAGTGCTGAAGGGGAGTTTCTGGAGAACTAAATGAAATACGGTACACAATATCAATAAAAGCAAAAACCACATGACAATCTCAATCAACACAAAAAGTGCATTTGAAAAAATACAACACGCTTCACAATACAAACACTTAAAAAACTGGGGCCGGGCATGGTGGATCATGCCTGCAATCCTAGCACTTTGGGAGGCTCAGGTGGGTGGATTGCCTGAGCTTAGGGATTTGAGACCAGTGTGAGCAACACAGTGAAACCCCATCTCTACTAAAATACAAAAAAATTAGCCAGGTGTAGAGGCATGATCCTGTAGTCCCAGCTACTTAGGAGGCTGAGGCAGGAGAATTGCTAGAACCCAGGAGGGGAAGGTTGCAGTGAGCCGAGATCACACCCCTGCACTCCAGCCTGGGGCGGCAGAGGGAGACTCAGTCTCAAAACAAAACAAAACAAAAACAAGCTGTAAATGGAAAGGAGCTTCCTTAATCTGTTGAAGATTAGCTCAAAAAAAAAAAAAAAAAAAACCCTACAAAAAAACCAATGTTTAATGGCAAAAGCATGAATGCCTTCCTTTTCACATCATGAATAAGACAAAGATGTCCACTTTTGCCACTTCTATATTCAAGATTGTACCAGAGTTTCTAGACAGGGTAAATCAGGCAATAAAACGCATCTGGATTAGAAAGGAAGAAGAAAAACAATCTCTATTCCCTGCAGACATTATCCTATATATAGAATATGTTAAGGAAGCCATTAAAACAACTACCAGAACTAAGAAATGAGTGCAGCAAGGTATCAGGATACAAGATCAATACACAAATATCAATTACATTTCCACACAATAGCATTGAACAGTCTGAAAATGAAATTTAACAATTCCGTTTACAACAGCATCAAAAAGAATAAAATACTTGCAATAAACCTGACCAAAAAAATACAAAACATATATCTTGAAAACCACAAAATATTGTTGACATTATAGATGGCATAAATAAATGGAAAGATGAAAAATGTTCATGGATGGAAAGACTTCATATTGCTGGGGTGGTAATAATTCCCAAAGTGTTCTACACATTCTGATAGTGACAGGAGGCAGCCAAATGCCCAGGAAGATAGGGGCGAGTCTCTGGTGAAACCACACCTCCAAGCTGAAGGCAGTTTAAAGCCCGAAATCGAAGCTACAAATTAAATCTTTGGACAGGATTGAGAACCTGTCTTCTTGTTTGGCATTCTTTCCTCTTATTGATCCCCATCCTTCACCTATTTTATGTATACATACCCTTTCCTAATTGATTTTCTACACTGTCATGTCCACCTTTGAGTGGTGTCTTTGCTTTAACCTTTTTTGCATACTCATGAATCAATCAGCACACACTCCCCATTCTGAATTCATAAAAATCCCAGGGCCCAGCCACACTGAGAGAAAAAAAACCACCCGACTGTGGAGGTAGGGGATCCCCCCAACAGCCTTCTGCATCCCCTCTCTGCCCATCTTCACCCTTCAACTGTCAGTGTAACCTCATTCTTCTTGGACATAGGACAAGAACTCAGGAACCACCAGACACAGGTATAAGCTATAATACAGGCAGGCTGGGGCACCTCCAGTGGCAGGCCCTGGGGCTGAGTGAGGCCTGGGAATTGGGGCGGGGGGGCATCGCTGGCCAGAGGTCACAATTGGCAAAGTAACTGAGATAATTCCTGTTTCAATTCCACATACTTCCCATCAAAAGCCTAGTTGGCAAGTTTGCAGAAATTGATAAGCTGATCCTAAAATTCATACGGGAAATGCCAAGGACCCAGAATAATTAAAATAATCTTCAAAGAAAAAAACAGAATTGGAAGACTCTTCCCTATGTTAAAGCATCCTGCAAGATGCAACAATCATGGCTACATAGTCCTGGGATGCAGACATAGAGATATAGATGAAGGGAATAACATTTACAGCCAATTGATTTTTCAGAGTGTGCTGAGAAAATTCAATGGGGGTCAGAATCTTTTTTTTTTTTTTTTTTTGAGACGGAGTTTCACTCTGTCACCCAGGTTGGAGTACAGTGGTGTGATCTTGGCTCACTGCAACCTCTGCCTCCTGGGTTCAAGTGATTCTCCTGCCTCAGCCTCCCGAGTAGCTGGGACTACAGGCGTGCACCACCACGACTAATTTTTGTATTTTTACTAGAGATGGGATTTCATTTTGCCATGTTGGCCAAGCTGGTCTAGAGCTCCTGACCTCAGATTATCTGCCCGCCTTGGCCTCCCAAAGTACTGAGATTACAGGCATGAGCCACCATGGCCAGCCAGGAATCTCCTTTTTAACAAATAGTGCTGGCACAATGGGATACTCTCATACAAAAGAATAATGTTGGATACCTTCCTCATTCCACACACAAAAATTAACTCCAAGGTGACTATGGATCTAAAATTAAGAGCTAAAAAGATAAAATCTGGCCGGTGCAGTGGCTCATACCTGTAATCCCAGCACTTTGGGAGGCTGAGTCAGGCAGATTACCTGAGGTCAGGAGTTGCAGACCAGCCTGGCCAACATGGCAAAACTCTGTCTCTATTTTAAAAAATATAAACATTAGCTGGGCATGGTGGCACGTGCCTGTAACCTCATGTATTCAGAAGGCTGTGGCAGGAGAATTGCTTAAACCGGGAGGCAGAGGTTGCAGCAAGCTGAGATCATGCCATTGCACTCCAGCCTGGGCAACAGAGCGAAACTCTGTCTCACAATAAAATAAAATAAATAAATAAATAAAAAGACGAAATCTTAAAAAATAAAAAATAATAAAACAAACAAATAATAGATAAAATCTCAGAAGAAAATATCACTACAGGTGAGATGAAGGCTTTTAAGATGTGGCATCAAAACCACAAAGTGGCAAAAGAAAATACAATAATTGTACTTTATAAAAAGTAAAACATTTTGTGTTTCAAAAGTGAAAAGACAATCACAAAATGGGAGAAAATATTTGCAATCATATACCTGATAGGGAACTTGTATTTGGATTACCAAAAGAATTCTTTCTAGTCAATAAAAAGAAGAAAAATAATCCAATTTTTAAATAGGCAAAGCATTTCCGTAGCTATTTCTCCAAAGAAGACACACAAATAGACAAGAAACATGTTGGAAATAGATGCTTGGTGCCGCAAAGAAAAATTAGCACAGTGACAAAGGATTTTTCATCAACGCAATTTTTCCTTCCTGGACTATAGGAAGGGTACATCCGGTAGCCATTATGCCCGGAGAGTACAAAGAACAAAGGGAATACATACAAAGTTATTCCTTATGCATTGGTGTTGTCCTTACTGCTGTGTCTGATCTCCTTTGGCTGGAGCCGGACCTCACAATCTAAACTAAAACCTGATTGGCTAATAACTTAAAACTTTTCTAAACAGGTAAAAGCAATGGAGAGCTGAGACAAGCCTGTGAGCATGTCCAGCACAGATATCTTGGTTAAAGTACAAGGACATAGGATAGGGCTTAACAAAGGGTTATTAGCACACTTATGATTTAACAAGAAAGGAAACTTTAAAAAGGAACTTTTCTACTTCCCACAAAACGCATGAAATGATTCTCTGCATCCTCAGTCCTCAGGGATGTGCAAGTCAAAACAGCAATGGTGCCACTTCACATTCACCAGAATGGCCAGGATGGAAAAGCTAGATAATGACAAACGAAGATGAGGATGCAAGGAAGCTGTAACATTCCTGCACTGCTGGTGGGACTGTCAAATGCTACAGCCATGTTGGAAACTAATCTGGGAGATCCTCAACATGTTAAATGTCATGTAAGTCTTCATATGACCCAGGAATTCTCTGGGTATGCACCAAGAGAAAAGATATCCACACCAAATAGTGTATAGGAGTGTGCGGAGCAGCATTATTCACAAAAGCAAAAAGGTAGAAACTACCTTATGCCCATCAACTCGCTAGCATCCCCAGGAGCATTATTCATGCAATTGAGCATTATTTGGCCATAAAACAAATGAAGCTGTAGGCAATGCTACTATGTGGATGAACCTTGAAAACATTATGCAAAGTAAAAAGGCAGTTGCTGCCGGGCATGGTGGCTCACGCCTGTAATCCTAGCACTTTGGGAAGCCGAGGTGGGTGGATCACCTGAGGTCAGGAGTCCAAAACCAGCCTGGCCATCACGGTGAAACCCCATCTTAAAAAAAAAAAAAAAAAAAAAGGCAGTTGCACAGGCTCACATATTGTATTATTCTGTTTGCAGGAAATACCCAGAATAGGCAAATCTATGGAGCTAGGGTAGAGCTCTCTATGAGGCTGTTACCTAGGGCCCAGGTTGTGGCTGGGGGTGGGGCTTGGCGACAGCATGAGGAATGACTACTGTTTACAGGGTTTCCTTGGCAGGGATGGGGAAGTGGGGGTGGTGGTGATAAAATGTTATAAAATTGATTGTGAATTAAAATTGACTGTGCACAACTATGAATATACTAAAAGCCATTCAATCCATCACCTTAATCAGGTGAATCTCATCTAGGGCGTCCACATTGAGACTGGGCAGACAGAGTGAAAAGGGCAAAAGATGAGTAACTGTTTGAACGGAGGCAGAAACAGAGAGTGAGATTTCCTGTGAATGGAAGAAATAGAAGAGAGCACGGTCATCTTTACAAATGAGGGATCTGAAAGTGGGGGTTCACACCAATAGTGTCACTGCCAGAGAGGAGGCTCGCCCGCAGGATGCAGGCAGGCTGGGGTTCACACTGGCACGGGTGCTGGCAGCCATGTCAGCAGGCAGGAGGGTCCCGATGCCCAGCTGAGGGGTGATGATAGCCTGAGTGGGCATGTTGGCCATTAGAGGGGCTCTCCCACAACCTCCGTCCACACAGCCCACAGCGACTGTGCAGAGCCCCAGAAGAGACTGCGGCAGGTGTGTGACCGTATAAAGAAAGACGGCCTGGTGGAAGGCAGGAGGGGCTCTTCTGCGGCTGGAGTGGGGCCCTGACCAGGAATGTGGGGAAAGGGGCAAGTAAACCATCATGCTGGCCAGTAGATTGGCTGGGACGATGAGCTGGAGGACAATAATGGGGAGTGGCTGTGAGCCCTGGGAGAGTGTGAGTGTGAAGGAGATGGGCGTGAGGCCACTGGGGGATACGTGGGGCCCACTGCTGTGCAGACGGAGGTTGTGGGAGAATAAGCTGCTGAGGTCTGTGAGTTTCTAGGGGTCTCCTGGGTGCCTAGGGCTGGCTCTTGCAGAAAACTGGGGATGGTTAGAGCAGAGCCAGGAGACACAGGAGTCCCTAAGGAATGGGGGTGAAGATACGAGGGAGATTGGGGAGGATGTCAGGGAGCTCTGTGAGTTTCTAGGTGATTCCTGGGTGCGGGGATTTGAGATCTGGGGATGGTTGGAGAGAAGCGGGGACACGCGGGAGAGTCTCTGAGGGAAGGGGTGAAGAGGTGAGAGAGATGGGGGAGGAGCCCTGTGAGGTCTCTGAATTTCTGGGTGTTTCCTGGATGTGTAGGGTTGACTGTTGCAGAAATCTGGGGATGCTTGGAGGGGTTGGGAGACAGAGGAGCATTCCTGAGAGCAAAGGGTGAAGACGAGGGAGATGTTGGAGAGGATCCCGGGGAGGTCTGTGGGTTTCTAGGTGATTCCTGGGTATGGGGGCTGACTCCAGCTGAAATGTGGGGGTGGTTGGAGAGGAACTGTGAGACATGGAGAGTCCCTGTGGGCTGGGAGTGAAGACATGGGAGACATGGGGAGGATTCCAGGGAGGTCTGTGAGTTTCTAGGGGTCTCCTGGGTGTTACGGGCTGAGCCCAGGAGAAATCTGGGGACGGCTGGAGAGGAGCTGGGACATACTGGAGCGTCCCAAAGGGCTGCAGGAGGAGAGATGAGAGACAGCGTGGAGGAGGGCACGCAGATTTGTGTCTGTAGGTGCTTCCCGGGTATCAGGGGCTGACTGTTGGAGATCGGGGGTGCTTGGAGGGTAACTAGGAGACATGGGAGAGTCCCTGAGGCTGGGGTTGAAGGAGCAGGAGTCACAGGGGAGAATCCCAGTGAGGTCTGTGAGTTTCTATGTAATTCCTGGGTGTGACGGGCTGTCAGAAATCCGCGGTGGTTTGGGGGTAGCTGGGAAACAGGAGAGTCCCTGAAGGCTGGGGGTGAGCTGCCAGACGGTGGCAGTAAGAACATGTGGCATGTTATTGACGTACGGGGTGACTCTGAAGAAGCCCCAGGGGAGGGAGTCTCTGTGTCATCCAGGCTGAAGTGCAGTGGCACAGTCATAGCTCACCAAAACCTCCAATTCCTGGGCTCAAGCGATCCTCATGCATTGGCTTCTTGAATAGCTGGGACCACAGGTGCACATCGCCATGAATGGCTGTTCACCCATTTTTCAGTTGTTCATTTGTCTCCATTGTTTTGTGACCATCCCATCTTAAGGAAATTAGCTGCTCTCTGTCCTATGTTGAGGATAACTTTCCGCAGTCTTTGGCTGTATGTCTTAATTTTAATATGCAGTCAAATTCATAGTCTTCATTTTATGGCATCTGGGTTAAGAACCATTATTTTAACCAAAATTGGTCTGCCAGTTTTTAGCTTTGAGCCTTTATTTTGCCAATAGTGTTTTAAAAGTGTCTGCGTATTTCTAGGACTTTATTTTTCATTTTGCTAATGTAAATTACGCATATATATATATTAAGATAATATTTGCTTATTTTTAAGAAAAATGTTAAGATGCAAGCCCCCATTCCTATATCAACCTCCTCTCCTTTGTTAATTCCATTTATCTCCCCAAATCACCATCTTTAAAAATTTCACCTTTGTTATTTCAGATTGGTTTCTATATATTCACATACATATTTATGTAAGGTTAGAAATAGAGTTTGGGGGTTTGTGTGTTTGTTTTTACTTAAGTGGTACCATATTGACTATACATTCTGCATGGATTTTTGTTTTTCTTTTTAAATTTTTATTTATTTTTTATTTACTTATTTTTATTTATTTAATTAATTTTAATTTAATTTTTATTTTTCTGCACGTATTTTTGTTGTTTTTTACTTTGCCTTGGGGATCTCCCCATGTTCATACATATAAATTCCCTTATTCTTTCTCACTGCTCCCGTCATTCCTTGCTGTGAGTGTATTGGGTTAACAAGCTGTGATTGGTGAACATCTACTTTTTCTCTTAATAATTCTGCTATGAACAGCTTTTATACGTACTCTTATGAATGTGTATTTCTGCAGGATGATTCCATAGAACTGGCAAACTTAAAAATTTGAAAGAAAGCTGCCAAATTTTCTTTTCAAATGCTGAACCAATTTATGTTCTAACCCAGAGTAGACAATATATCCATTTTCTCTAGCATACAACAGAACTGGCTATTATTAATCCTTTTTATTCTTTTCTGTCAGGTAAGAGCTATGGCATTATATTACTGTGAATGTTTCTAGACAAGGAATATGTGCCATCCTCTTTTGTTTTGAGACAAGGTCTCAATCTGTCATCCAGGCTGCAGTGCAGTGGTATGATCAGAACTCACTGCAGCCTGGAACTTCTGGCCTCAAATCATCCTCCCACCTCAGCCTCCCCAGTCGCTAGGACTACAGGCTTGCACCCTCACCCTGGCTCTTTTTTTTTTTTTTGTATACATGGGTCCTTGCTATGTTGCCCAGGCTGGTCTCAAACTCCTAGGCTCAAGCGATCCTCCTGTCATGGCCTCCCAAAGTTCTGGGATTATAGGCGGGAGCCATCACGCCCTGCCTGGCCATCTTCTAATAAGCTTATTCCTTTGTATTTCCCTTGCTATTTACTCCTTGTTTTTTTCTGTTTAGATATTCATTTCATTTATGAACTCTTTTTTATATTTTTCAAGGTTTAATCTTTTTCTTCTGTTATATGCATTAACAACCAAGTTACTTCCAACCTGTTGATTGATTTTTAACTTTCACGGTAATTTGTTTTAGAAAGTAATTTTTTGTTTTTGTTTTTGCCCAGGCTGGAGTATAGTGGTGTGGTCTCGGCTCACTGCAACCTCTGCCTGTCATGTTCAAGTGATTCTCCTGGCTCAGCGTCCCAAGTAGCTGGGATTACAGGTGCCGCCACTGCACCTGGCTAATTTTTGTATTTTTAGTAAAGACGAGGTTTCACCATGTTGGCTAAGTTGGTCTCGAACTTCTGACCTCAGGTGATCAGCCCACTTCAGCCTCCTAATGTGCTGGGATTACAGGCATGAGCCACTGTTCCCAGCCTAGAAAATAATATTTATTAATAAGATGAGTTATATTGCTAAATGTAGTAATGATAAATTTTCTGTGCATTACTGTTGTACTGTAGTAGTAATTTTAATATATTGATTGATTTTATATGCTACTTTTTATAAATATTGGCAGTTTTATTCATAGGGACATTTGCCTATTGACTTTTTGGCATTTTTGAGTTTTTCTTAGTTGTTCTGATATAATATAATTTTGTTATCAGGGTTATACTAGGATTTATGGTAGTAATATAATGAATTTAGAAGCTTCCCAACGTGTTCTGCTCTGTGGAATAGTTTATAATAATAATAGGTGCATTAAAGCTTTGGGATAATTCTCCTTTAGAGCATTCAGAATATATCGTTTATTTGGGGATTAACCTTAAGCTTCTGAGGTTATTGTTTTATTTAGTATTTATACTACTTGTCAAATACATTTTGGTTCTTTATATATTTCTTGAAAATTATATTCTCCATTTCATCCACTTCTCTTTTTTTCCCCATATCATCTGCTTTCTGCTTGCTCTGGCTTTGTTTTGCTGTTTTTATCTGAGTCATAGACAGTTCGGTGGTAACAGCATGGGCTCTGGAAGCTTCCTCTCAGTTTGTTGTAACAGCGTGTTTAGTAGACACTGAGCCTCAGTGCCCTCATCAGTCAAATGACAATATAATCATGCCTGTGTTGTAGTGAGAATTAAATGAAGTAATACACACGAAACACTTAGAACGTACGAACCCTCAATGCATGTTAGCTAATATTGTTAGTAGCACTTTCTTGTAAGGGAAGATGAGTTAATTTACTTTCACTCTTGTTTTTTGAAATCAATGTTACAACTTTTCCTTTGAGTATGACTTTAAACTATTTCCTGCTGTCTTGAATATGTACTGCCATTGTTTATTTTCAAATAGTATGTGATTATTATTATTATTATTTTCTGAGATGGAGTCTTACTCTGTCGCCCAGGCTGGAGTGCAGTGATGTGATCTCGGCTCACTGCAAACTCCGCCTCCCAGGTTCAAGTGATTCTCCTGCCTTCGCCACCTGAGTAGCTGGGATTAGAGGCACACATCATCATGGCTGGCTAATTTTTGTATTTTTAGTAGAGATGGGGTTTCACCATGTTGACCAGGCTGGTCTTGAACTCCTGATCTCAACCAATTGTTTTGATTTTTAGATCCCACAGATTAGAGAGAACATGTGACGTTTGTCTTTCTGTGCCTGGTTTATTTCAAGAGCCTATTGACCTCCAGTTCCATCCATATTGTTGCAAATGACAGGATCTTGTTACCTTTTTATGGCTGAATAGTACTCCATTGTGTCCATGTACCACGTTTTCTTTATCCATTCATCTGTTGATGGACACTGGATACTTCCAAATCTTGGCTATTGTGAACAGTGCTGCCACAAACATGTGAGTGCAGAGATCTCTTTGATCTTTGATTTTCTTTCTTTTGGGTATATAGCCAGCAGTAGAATTGCCAGATCATATGGTAGCTCTTCTCTTTAGCTTTTTGAGGGGACTCCAAACTGTTCTCCATAGTGGTTTTACTAATTTACATTCCCATCAACGGTGTATGAAAATTCCCTTTTCTCTACATCCTCACCAGCATTTCTTACTGCTTTTACATAAAAAGCCATTTTAAATAGGGTGAGATGATATCTCATTGTAGGTTTGATTTGCACTTCTCTGTTCTCTGATGATCAGTGATGTTGAGCACCTTTTGATATGCCTGTTAGCCATTTGTATGTCTTTTTTTTAGAGACAGAGTCTCACTCTGTTAC